TAATGATCCTGAATCATTGACGAACTTGGCCATTAAAATGCAGAATGCTTCTTTAACTTTAGAACAATTAAATTGTACAGCTGAACTTAACTCTATGACTACTTTAGAACGAATAGTAAGGCTCTTACCTCGTCGAATGCAAGCCCAGTCGGCAGAGCTAGTATTCAAGTGGGACGAAGAGGAGAGAGAGCCCAATTTTAACGAATTGACGGAATTTATTATGTCTCGTGCTAAGATAGCTAGTAGTAGGTTTGGAAGATTAGCTTATCAGGCTAAAACAGGAAATAATATGGAAGCTACTAGTGGTCTGCGTGCGAGACATTCGGATTCTTCGTTTCTACCTAAGGCACGCTCGGAAGATAAGCGATTTGTCAATTATATCACGAAAGCATACCCTGATGAAGGACGAGTACGTGACCGTAACGATGTAAATTCTCTTGATGCGTGTCCTAGCAAGAAGCCGGTTTGTGTAACAGATAAGATGGCTTTTCTAAGTGTAGAAAAGAAAGAAAAAGGCGAAAAGTGTAGGCATCAAGATGGATCCGAAGTGTGTGACGATAAAAGCCTCTTAGCTGCTCGAAAAGCCTGGAACGGTAATTTGGATTCGAGTAATCAGAGGTTAGTGAGTTCAGCAAATATGAATAAAGCCCAGGCAGGATTGACTGAACGGAATAAAGCTTATTTTCGGAACCCTTCAGTTAGGGTAAATTATATAACTGGACCTAGAGTAGCTTCTAGGATAAGTGATGGTGGTACAGTAACGGCTAAGAAGCCTAGGAGACATGATGCTACTATTACTAAGAAGCCCGAACCTCATGCTCTTTCGGATGCTACGACTAGCTATGGAAATAGTAGCCATCAGAACCTTAGTAGTGACAGTGATAATAAGGATATAGAAAGTGTCAGCAGTTCACTTATAGGGACTAGTTTATCCACTTCATCGAATGAGCCTCCTAGTGTTTCGACGCCATCGGACCTCGTCACGAAGGTTAAGTTGATTGAAGATGCACAAGGTTGTGCAACTGTAACTGTTCCTATTACGGTTGACCGTCAGTCGAGTGATGATGAGAATAAAGTGATTGATGGTAACAGCCAGTCTACAGTGCTGTGTGATGACGATGCTATTGTTGAGCATATGTCCTGTGCCGCGGAAACGGATGCTAATGTAGAACGGAATCATTTAGACGTTGACAATAAACTGGATGTCACTGATGTGACAAATGAGTTACCGACGATGATGAATACTGTTCAAACCTCCTCTGCAGCAGGAGATGGAAGGATAAATATTGATCCTACGTCGTGCTACTTAAGGTCTTCTGGAGACGACGAAATGTCAAAATTGGAAATCTCACCCTTGCATATTATTTATGGGTCAAAAACTTCTGTTGATAAGTTAGTATCACGGACTTTATGGTATCTGCTGATCAGAGCAAGTGGTGGTGGATTGGCGATTCGTCCCCACGATAGAGAATGTAGTCCTTGGATAGGATATGACCAGTTTTGCGACGCGTTGTTCATGTTCGTATGGGTTAATTGGGTAAGGTTTGTACTACCGTTAGGTCATTCCACGATAGATAGGGGAATCAAGGGCCTGATGGGAAAGTATAGGTACCTAGTTAACACGATAGGTCATATCCATGTTGGATGGCGGGTAGGCGTACTGCTGTAAGTCCTACACGTTATTCCGGTGTGGATTAGGGGATAACATGGGAACCCTAATTAAGGTGTCGTTAACGCTTGCTGTTTTTGCATGGAGGGATTTTGCGGGCCGGTGTAGAATTCTTTTTGAATGTTTTGTTTTTGGGAAAATCCCTCCATGTTTACATATTTTGCTATGACCTGATGGACTTTTTCTCTTGACATTTTTGGTATTTTATTTGATTCCAATTTGAGATTTTACCATTGTATGTTGTTATTCTTTCCATATTTTGTACTTATATTGAAGTTTTTGTGTTTGCTTCTGAATTGTACATATATTGTTTAAATTTGATATAATATGGCTACCGCCACATTTTTGGATAGACGTGGTGGCTGCTGGACTTAGTGTCACTTACTAGCTATTGTAATAGATACTCTACGGAGTAATTTAGTCCTGGAAGAAACATAAACATCGTAAGCCTCTGTATTTCCATTTTATAACAATAGAGACGGTTTTCTCCTAGAATTTTCGGCTTTCTGATTTGGCTGGGACGTGGATCTAGGAGAATCGTACCGGTGTGTTTCTATTGGACGCGATTAGGACAGCCGCCGGCGAAATAAATTCTACATTCACTGGTTACTACTTTGGTCCATTTCTGATAATTTGTCTTGTAGTGTGTCGATTTACTGCGTGTTCTTAAGCTCGGTAATTAACTCGTCCAGACAATCGTTAATAACATGTGTCTGACGGTTTATAAATTAGAAGGCGAACTCGTAGTGTTGAATACGTTTATTTGGGACACACCACAAAGCGAAGCGGAGATGCAGTGAATAAAACTGATGAAGCGATGTGGAGAAGGCTAATGAGCCAACTCTCTGAGATAGAGCATGACTAGGAATATATAGTCAGACTAAAGTATGACAGACATATGACAAGCGAAATAGGCATGCACACACATGAATAAAAGCGACGAATGATTGATAAGGTCAAAAGCAAGCGAGACAAGTCATGTGAGTTCATAGGGATATTAGGAGATTAACAGTAAATCGAAAAGGATGAGTAAGCGCGTGGGCGTAAGCAATGTTCAGTTGTACAAGCTCATACAAACCAGACAATAAAGAATACCAACTGTACATATGAGGTGTCGCTAAATGAATAGCTTGGTTACATAAGTTAATCGAAAGGCTTAATCAGATTAAATATGAGCGAACTCAAGTTTATGTGGAGGCACTACAGTCTGTCACTAAGTTTAGAGCGAACAGATTGAAGTTTCTCATCTATTAGTTGATCATAATCACGCTTGATAACCTTTGTAAACGATCGATTATACTACTTTGAACTTATTTTATAGACTGCAAAGTGAATACACATGCGAATACAATGTCTAAAGAATTGATTACCGGGAGTGTTAAAGTTTATTCTATCAAGTCAACTTTAATATCATATTTATCAGTGATTCTGTCCATGCTCATTGCAGATAACAGTTACTTATTTCTCATTTACTAGCTTTACAGTAATGACAAGAGTCTATCTAATGAAATACACGAACTCAGAACTAGTTGTCGAGCGCTTAAGGTTAGCTTTCCGCGAAATTCAGTTTGCTGATGATATATCCCAATGAATACGTCAATAATTCTTTTGCTAACCAATGTTAAATTCAGTAGCATCGATTAAGTCTATAGATGTATAGAATATCCTCTTACTTACTTACGCCTGTCAACCCCAATGGAGCATAGGCCGCCCACCAGTTTTCTCCAACCAACTCTGTCTGTCCTGGGCTTCCCTCTCCAATACTGTCCAATGTTTGTTCATTCTTTTCATATCTTTCTCTATTTCTCGGCGTAGTGTGTTCCTTGGCCTTCCTCTTTTCCTTTTGCCTTGAGGGTTCCATGTGAGGGCTTGTCTTGTGATGCAGTTTGGTGCTTTTCACAGTGTGTCTTATCCACTTCCACCGCTTTTTCCCGATTTCTTCCTCCATTGAAATCTGGTTTGTTCTCTCCCACAGTTCGTTGTTACTGATGGTGTCTGGCCAACGAATCCGAAGTATTTTGCGTAGACAACTGTTAATAAACACTTGTATCCTCTGGATGATGGCTTTCGTAGTTCTCCAAGTTTCCGCTCCATACAGTAGAACTGTCTTCACATTTGTATTGAAAATCCTGATTTTGGTTTTGGTTCAAAGTTGTTTGGAGTGCTAGATATTTTTCAACTGTAGAAATGCAGCCCTTGCTTTGCCAATCCGCGTCCTCACATCAACATCGGATCCACCTTTCTCGTCGATGATGCTGCCGAGATATGTAAAGGTGTTAACGTCTTCCAAGGCATCTCCATCAAGAGTGAGTGATTTGGTTGGTGCATGTTGTGTTGCATCGGAGAATTTTGCTTTTTCCTTTATATATGTTGAGATCTACTGCTGCAGAGGCTACTGCTACACTGGTCGTCTTCTCTAGAATATCCTCTAGGTACTTAAAAACACAGCACACAAAAAAATTGAATAAAAAGAGATTTGAACAAAACAAAGATATTTAATGTTTGTATTTCTTTAACATACAAATGCAAATATATATATATTTATTTGAATAAGTAAACAATAGATAGAGAGGAAAAAAGAAACAAGAAATGAATTTCAAAGGACCTGCCTTAAACAAATTAAAACAAATAATAAATTCTCAAACCAATTTTGAAAGGACATACACATACACACACACAGTGCAGAAATATTGACAAAAAAAAATTTCAAATTTGAAACAAACAAATAGAGAATTAGCAACAAAATGTCGATACCAGCCGACAAAATCATTATACTAAATAAAAAAAAAACGAAAAAAAATTGAACATTCGCAAGCGATAATGATTATCAGTTAGTTTAACAAAGGATTGATCAATTGATGGATTGACTGATTGACAAGCACATCCTTTTTGTTTTTTTTAAAAAAAAATCCTGGGACAACTTATTTGGCAAAAATGATCAAATAAACCACCAGTGGGCAATAAGCACAATAATAATAATAATAATAATAGTCAGAAGAATAATAATAATTATCAAAGAAATTGAATATTGATAACATTGAACTCTTGAATAGATATCATAAAAGAGCACAAGTAAAATACTAGGTTACAACAGTAAATAATAGTTTTAAAACAAAAAAAACAGCAATATTATTTATTCTAAAGATAAAATAAATTTGAAACATATAAACTAACAAGGACAAAAAAAAATCGGATTAAAAGAGATTGTAATTCAAACAGAAAAAAAGAAAAGGACGTAAGTGGTAGGTATCTAAATTGAATGAATATCTAGACGACAGTGTTGAGATATTTGTCTAATCATGTTCAATAGGATAGAGCGCTTCACATTTAGTCAGTCTGTCATTGAATCGAAACCTGAACAATAAAAAGAAACAAAAAGAAATATGCTCATTCAAAAATTGAAAATAAGAACAATAAAGAAGACTAATATAAGGGAGACTAATTAATTGTGAATACAGATTATTACTGTTAGGATATTTCTCTAATATCATAAGAGAATTGGTTAATTCCTATTGGTGGTGGTTGGGACATGTGTTACGTATGCCTAACCATCGACTGCCTCGACGAGCTTTGTTTTGTAGTGTAGGAGTAGGTTGGAAGAAAGTTAGGGGCAGCCAAATCAAAACATGGCAGAAATCCATGAAGTCATTGACTAGTGGACTTAGCCATGTCGGTAATTGTCGACTACCTGGTTGGGGTCCGCGAGATGATAATAATCGATGGTTAGAGACCTTGAATGACATGTCTCAAAATCGTTCGCAATGGCACCGGTGCATTTATTCTTTGTGTTCTCTCAAATCCTAATCTTCTGGATTCCTCAACACCTCTAGTTTCGACTCTCTAAAGTTTTCTCACTGAATCATACTTCTTGAATAATATCTTCTAATCCTAACCTCTCCGGTTAATTCTACTGCCTCTACTACTATTGGATTTGAATTGACAATTACATCTCTGTGCTGATGTGGTATGGCGACATAAACTGATGTACTTACGTACCAAGTTCTACGTTGCATCTGACTGACTGATTGGTCGTCCTAACTATCAATATCACGTACTTCATCGTTGTTTCCTATTTGACCTAAATGTATAAATATGCATTATCCGTAACGTTATATGACCCGGATCCTTATCCTTTTTTGAACTCGGACCTCGTACTTTCTGGATGCTGGTAGAATACAGGTTCTACTTCATATCAAGTCTTCTTCATTTACTCAATGGGGGGGTTGGAACGTTCGGATTAGAGTAGCCTATTGTGTCACCCTATCCTCAATCCTCGCTCTGGTTTATCGACTAAGGTGAACTCGTAATAGTTCAAGCATATCAACTGACGTGGTGAAGTTGCGTGCGTAACAATTAACCAGATTGCTTTTCGTGATGCTTGATGACTGAAAACCCAGTCGTGAATTTAGTCATGAATTAATATTGGGTTTGGGAACAAGAACGTACGTACGCTTAACTTTTGACTTGAAGGCTATTTATTAGTTTCATTGTAATTTCTGTCATCAAAAGAGGTGTTAATGAACAACAAAATACTTTTTACTTGAATATTATTAGCCGAAAGAAAGAGTATAGCAAACTGTTTCCAGAATTGGCATATTTAGACAGTGTTCATCGTTTGTGTACACTTTAACTCGTTTTATTTTTACTAAGAATATGCTCAAAGAATTTACTTTTCGAACACTTAAAACTTCGGAGATTAATCTTGTCTACAAGTTCAACCATCAACTTTTAAAAAGCAGATGATATGTCCATTTTAGTGAACAGACTGATAAAAGCGCAATCTCCTGAATATTTTGAGTAAAATGGCAATAGTATTTATAGCACGATTTTTTCCCTTTGAATGGAAATTCTCCTTCAAAATCAATAGGTGTGAATATTTAGTTTGATCACTGAGAGTGAAGTAGTATGGTGGATGCTACTCACAAAATGGCGTATAAATAGTATGTATCGTTGCCTAGAAGCTGCTACCAAAGAGAAGAATGGAAGAAGATCGAAATGCGCGGCATGATCAGTGTAGTTTTAAGACCAAAAGACATGCAAGGGAAGACAGTCAATAATCCACTTGTTTTGCAAATGAATGTTTAAAGATAAAGTGTACATTTTTTGTAGGTAAATTACGTTTTTCCTAAATATATGTTGTTCCATCTTATTTGAAATTCCTCATTGTTCACAGTAGTAGTAGTAGCGTTTACCGACTAATGTGGCTGAAACACGTGTTAGATATTACTGGGCCATTGACAACTGTTTGACATAGGACTGTCTATTGCAGCAGTAATTGAATAATAGCTTATTATGTAACGATAAATTGTTAGTATAAGTTTTAAGGCCTATCTATCAACATAATCGGGTTGTAAGGGAGTCATAATCAATAATGACTTATGGACAAGTATCTCAAACTACCGAATAAATGAATTTGAAGAAAACTTACTACCGAATTACGTTTACTAAGATGTCATTAACTAATACGATAATAACATCACAAAGTGATAATATGAATTTTTTACCGTCATGTCGACAGTCTGGATTACACATTGGTTACAGTATTTAAATAGCAACACTATCCATCCACTTAAAACAATAGATCAAAGTCGAGTACACAAAAGAATAATATCCAATATTAGATAATCGGCTAACAGTTACCAAAAAACGTTTTCATGGCATTCGATGAATAAATAAAGAAACCAAACTGGTTGACACTTATCAGCAATAAGCTGTATGCAGATTTGGCAGACAATGATCAGTCAGTGTGAGATCCACACGTGAATTACGTACTCAATGGTATGTTGATAATCTCATTACAGAAAGCTCGATTGACTTTTGCCAACCTGTATCACCTATAGCGTAGGAGAGATATCCGTTTGGTAACCAAAGGGCGGGTGTACTGCGCAGCAGTTCGTTCCGTTCTCCTATATGGCTGTGAAACATGGCCGTTAAGAGTAGATGTTCGTAGGTTACTAGTATTCGATCATAGATGTTTCAGAAGCATTGCTCGTATATCGTGGGACAACCGAGTAAGCAATGCTGTCGTTAGGAAACGAGTACTAGGTAAGGATAGCAGATCAATAGGTGAAGTATTGAAACTTCATCAGTTGAGGTGGTTGGGACATGTGTTACAAATTCCTAATCAACGACTGCGTCGACGAGCTATGTTTTGTGGTGTAGGAGTAAGTTGGAAGAAAGCTAGGGGCGGCCAGACCAAAACATGGCAGAAATCCATGAAGTCACTGACTAGTGGACTGAGTCATGTTGGTAGATGTAGACTACCTGGTTGGGGTCCGCGAGACGAAAGTCATCAATGGTTAGAGACCTTGAATGACATGGCTCAAAATCGTTTGCAATGGCGCAAGTGCATCCATTCGTTGTGTTCTCTCAAATCCTAATCTTCTGGATTCGTCAACACCTCTACCTTTGTCTCACTGAATTATACTTCTTGAATATTATCTTCGAACCCTAATCTTTTTCATTACCATTGATACCTCTCCTATCTTTATCACTATGTGATTTGATTTAACATTTGCGTCTGTGTGCTAATGTGGTATGGCAACCTGAACTGATCTAGCTACGTACGAAGTTCTACATTGTAGCTGACTGACTGACTAACTAACTAACTAATAATTTCCTAGAGATACTACGACGTTATTCGATTGGCGCTTTTTCTCAACTATGCCTCTCTTAAACTAACAAAATACAGTACATATTCTAGAGAGAAGAAAAAAAACAAATAATGCAGAAAAAAAGTGAAACCAATAAAATATTATACACATACAGAAAAGAAATTCATACCTCCAATTGCATGTTCTGTTACTTTACGTGTAAGCAGATCTAAATCACGATTAATTCGATCATTTGATGAATCCGATGATAAATCTTCAATCATATTATTTTCAGCAGTTGCAATGTAATTATCAACAAACACCAATAAATCACTATCATTATTATTATCATTATTATTGATTTGCTTATGATTCAGATTATAAATATTATTGTTGTGCATACTACATTGAGACAATTCATGTAATTCCATTTGTCTTCGATGAATTTGATGCATATAAGGATCAGTTGACCAACAACTACTACTCATGCTAGGAACTTTTAAATCGATGTGTTGTGATGACTTTTGTATTGTTGTTGGTGTTGTTGTGATTACTGGACAATTGGGATCACTAACAGTTTGTGCAGAATTCTTCTCATATGATTGATTATATAATGAATCAAATGTATGATAAACGATTGGATTAGGCATACATGGGATTGGTGTACAATTTAAAGATGGGAAGAAATTTCCAGAATTATCACAATAATTAGCATCAATATGTTGACGATTATTTATTAAATGATTTGATGAATTTAATGTCAACGATGTATTATTGGGTATAGTTGTGTTAATAGTATTATGAGTGGATGCACATAAACATGTACTATGAGTCTGTATTAACAATAAGTAAGCAAAAAAAAACAGAAGCCAGTATTAGGTTTATTACCAAAAAAAACAACGAAGTGAAACTAGAAAATTCAAACACAACACATACCTTACTGCCGTCATACCCCTCCATCACAGTCAGCAGTACGATTTCGCCCTCAGACCTTGGGTAGCTGCTGCTTTTAGTCTCATCGTTCTCCAATCGACCTGCCTGCCTGGCATGGTAGAACCTTCAGGAACATATGTTCCAGCCAGTATATTTTTAAATTTTAAAAGATTGAAACTAGAAAATTTAAACACAATCTAACAACCATGAAGCATATACTATACTATTATGGTGTGAGCTATTTATAAGTAGTATATGACGTGAATGTCAACGTAATGTCTGGCAGCAGAAGATGGGGGGAGGAAGATCAAGAAAGGAAGAGTTAGAAAACAATGGAATTTGTATGAAACACATGAATAGTATCAATGGATTGTTGATGTTTTGCATCAGGAACAGTCCAGTTCGATATGATGGAGTGATATTTTGCAAATTAACGATTTACGATATGGTTTTCCAATTTTACTGAGTAACTCTGTAATTCTCGTTCACTACACTATGAAAATAAAAAAATTCTTCTAAGATAGAAGTAGTTTTATGGAGATTGTTCAATTTTATTACATCACTGAATAACTAACTTTAGTTAGATAACTCTCTTGAGAAACTGATGGCATTGAGCATTGGATTTTTCTTGAACTTAAAACTATGCTAAATCAGTGTTTTCAAGGTAAGATGATCCATTACGAAAACTAGTTTTGAGTTCGACTCCTGGTGGAGGCATGGGTATATATTCGTAGTATTTAATGTTTTTCAACGACTCTCCGGTAAAAGTCAATCTGTAATGTAAACTAAAAAGTTTATTTTTATTTGTCACTTTATCGCAGTCTATGTACTTCAAAAATGAATGGAAAAAAACTTTACAATGTCAAATTATTATTAGTATATAGGATAGGGGTGTAATATAGAGATGGTACAATCTCTATAGTATAAATTCCAAGGCACTGTATCAATAAACGCTCACTAATGACTAGACTCAATATACAATACCTGGAGGTCTAGTGAAAAGTTATGAATAACCAGTGGAGTTCAATCATATCGCGTGCAGTGTCGCGAATTAATTGGAAATAGGTACGTACACTAACAAGCGCTGGCTATATGGTCGAGAGGTTAAGGATTTGCAACTGAGATCTAAGGTTCTGTGCTCAGTCCTCTGTGGTTAGGGTTACGGGTGTACACTGTTGGAGATTCCCATACTAGGACGAAACAGTTGTCCAGTGCTTCCTGGTTTTTATTGACCATCTGGCGAGATATCCGTCTGCTGACTAAAGGACGAGTTTACTGTGCAGTAGTTCGGTCCGTCTTACTTTATGGCTGTGAAACATGGCCAGTGAGAGTAGAAGATATTCGTAGGTTACTGGTTTTCGATCATAGGTGTCTTCGAAGCATTGCTCGTATATCCTGGGACACCCGAATGAGCAACGCTGTTAGTAGGAATCGGGTGCTAGGTAAGGATGGCAAATCAGTAGATGAAGTAATGAAACTTCATCAGTTGAGTTGGTTGGGACATGTGTTGCGTATGCCTAACCACCGACTACCTCGACGAACTTTGTTTTGTAGTGTAGGAGTAGGTTGGAAGAAAGTTAGAGGCGGCCAAACCAAAACATGGCAGAAATCCATGAAGTCATTGACGAGTGGACTGAGCCATGTCGGTAATTGTCGACTACCTGGTTGGGGTCCGCGAGATGATAATAATCGATGATTAGAGACCTTGAATGACATGGCTCAAAATCGTTCACAATGGCGCTGGTGCATTTATTCTTTGTGTTTTCTCAAATACTAATTTTCTGGATTCTTCAACAACTCTAGTTTTGACTTTCTTAACTTTTCTAATTAAATCATACTTCTCGAATAATATCTTCTAATCCTAACCTCTCCGATTACTCCTAATATCTTTACTACCTCTTCTACTATTGGATTTGAATTGACAATTACATCTCTGTGCTGATGTGGTATGGCGACATGAACTGATGTACTTACGTACGAAGTTCTGTGTTGCACCTAACTGACTGACTGACTGGCAGTTTGTGATTTAAACATTAAAATTACCAATCAAGATACAGAGAATCAGATGCAAAAAAATGATTGCATTGAATATTTGTTTCTTTCACTGAATCAAATATTATTTGTTACACATGGGATTGTAGAAAAACTGGAAAACGGTTAATCCTTCTAAACAATCAAGGTTAAAAACAGAATGAATGTAATTGTATCCCTTGACATTTATAGTCTCTAATGCCAGTTTACTTCAAGCACTTAAGAAGCTAAAACCAAACCCGACAATATGTAAAACACACCACAACTAAACAAATATACTTATACCAGAAGGTTGTGGGTAAAGCATGGGAGCTGCGATAGGGAAATACAAATTTAAAGTTATATGTGACAAAGAACCATATAGTACTTACTTTGTGAAAAGCATTTTGGCACGGTAATATCGAAGCTGGAACATTTGGTGTTCGCGGCAGCTGTTGTATAAGTTGAGTGTCAGATATTATTTTCTCTGGATAGGATCCTTCACAAATTGAAATCGGTGAGACACTTGATGGGAAAGGTGCGGTAGGAAATGCACCTTTGTTATCAGGAGAAAACCAGTCATTATAACAAATACCATGACGGCAAACATCTGATGGTGAAGGCATTCTAGTAACAGGAGCTGTTGCTACAGGCATTAAATTTCTGCGTGGAGTTAGATTAGTTGAAGGATCAAATCTTGACGGACTATGAAAACGTGGTCTCGGTAACTGGGATGGAAAACCAGATAATTCCATATCTGAAGACGCTTGAGGATGACGAGAAAAGCATGAATTACCTGATACAAGATTCGTTGATGGACCATTTCTTCCTGAAAAATACGATAAGTTTGGACTAGGCATTCTACGCCGATTGTTTAATCTGCCAACAGCTAAACAATTTCCAGAATCACCAACAGAAACACTATGTCGTCGTAAAGCTTCAATTGCTGTAGGGATATTTAAAGACATATTAGTTGAAGTATCCTGAGTATTGTGCAAGCAAACAGCAGAAGGCGGAAGAGTATTTGCATTAGCTCTATAAGCCATATGAGAATTTAGACGTTGTTCTGGACTAATCAAAGTGGTTGGGAACTTGTTAAGGCGACTGATATCCGAGTGATGCATATGTGGCATATGTCGATGATAAATATTAGTGTGGAAATCAGGTTTTGACTTTGATAAATTAGGTGAATGAGTAATATAGTGACCATATACAATAAGAATACGATGTTTCCAAAATGAAACAAGTTTCTTTTGTTGTTTAGTAAAAGCCTGAATTACGATGATGATGATGATGCGATGATAACAATGAAATCAGAAAAAGAAAAAGAACACAAAGAAAATGTTACAGGAAAACATGTTTTAAAAAAAAGTTTCATTGTATAAGTCACAAAAAACCGCTTTCTCTACATACACTACTGGATTACTGTTAGGATATTCACCAAATAACCTAAGAGTACTATTTTTAGAAGTGTAATTCCATTGGTCGATTTCTATTGGTCAAAATTATGGTCGTTTTAACTGTCAAAGTCAAATACTTCAATGTTGTCTCTTATTGGTCATCCGGACTGTCAATGTCATTTCAAGTGTTCTTTCCTATTGGTCGTCCTAAACTGCCAATGTCACAGACTTAGATGCTCTTTCCTATTCGACCTTAATATATAAATACGCACTATCTGTAAGCCTTCATGATTCCGAATCCAATTCCGTTCTTCCTGACGATCTCTCTTCCGTCCTCGACCCAATAAACAACTCCATTCCACTGTGTTGCGTTCTGATATACAGGAGATTTGGAAATAGCATTTTGGGACGTATTGGGATATTTGAATTGGACGCCGCTAGGACTGAGTAGCTATACGTAGCAGCGTTATAACAATTACACAGAAAAAAAATAGGACAAAAGACTTTTAGACTGTGGATTGTCTATTTTGTTTAGAAAATTTGATTTCTTATTTTTAACTTGACTTGGATAATACAAAATTCGACAGGGTTAATTTACAATCAGTTGCGAAATTTTTTTAAAAACTAATTAAATATTCTCGTTTTTGCCGTTGGGAGATCGGGTCACGTGAACAGGTTGATAATTATAGGGATAGTTTACTGCTGAGTCTATTTATTGATAATGTAATCGTATTGATTTTTGGGACTAATGACCTTGGATTTTACCAATGACAATACAATCATGTACTGAGTAATGATTGGATAATCTTAGTCCACAAACATCTTTCAGCCTAATGTTTAATCAGATGGAGTTAATAAACAGATTTCATCTATTTTTATTTACACTATGTTATTGATTCGAAAACTCATATGAGAGTTTATCTCAAATTCATGAAAATTCTAAGAATAGTGTATTAAACGTTAATACATTGAATGAAAGCTGATATGTAGGAAAATAAATGGTAATACAAAATAGTCTTAACATTTAAAAATACAGTCAAAATATAGCTCATAATACTTCAATCGTTTTTCATATCAACTCCAACAGAAAAAAATAAATTCATCATATCGATAGTGATCGGAAGATATCGCGTACTTCACAGTTTTGATGTTAACGATAATACAAGAGGCTATAATGAGCATGTTACAGCTTTGGATTATTTTTGTTGTTTGAATGAATCACTAGAAGGTTGTATTTTTTTTCTAGTGATATTGTCACAATATACAACTAGTAAGGAATTTGAATTGACTCCATGAAGTCACTAACAAGTGGATTGAGTCATGTTGGTAGATGTAGGTTACCTGGTTGGGGTCCACGAGACGAAAGTTACCGATGATTAGAGATTTTGAACGACATGGTTCAGAATCGTTTGCAATGGCGCAGGTGAATCCACTCGATGTGTTTTCTCAAACCCGAACCTTCTGAATTCCTCGCTACCTTTATCTTTTTCTATTTAAGTTTATCTCACTAGATTCTACTTGTTGAATAATATCTTCAAACCCCAATCTTCTCCATTGCCGCTAATACTTCTACTATTTCTACCACTATGGGATTCGCACTGACAATTGCATCTCTGTGCTAATCTGGTATAGCAACCTGAACTTATGTACGTACGTACGAAGTTCTACTTTGTAACTGGCTCATTAACTTCCTGAGGTCTTAATAAAGCTTCAGTTAAAATTCTAGCAGTTCAGTTCGTGAATTGATGAAATAGATCACCAGATAAAGATGATCAAAATGCTTAAAATTTCAGTAGTACAAATAATTAATAAAAATGTTTATTTCATTTACACACTTACAACATGATTCAGTATAATTTCCAATATTTGTAAAAACTCTTCATATAAATTAACACCTGAATAAGCTGTGACCAATAAACTGGAACATACTGAACAATCCATATTTTGGCGGGAAAAAAAGTAAATTCAAAATATATGCGGTATTAGTTTTTTTTTGTTTATCCATTTAGTTAAAAAGAAAAACGAAATATATATATATATATATATATATATATATATATATATATATATATTAACAAAAGATTATTAAGTTAATCAGCAGAGTTTCATTACAACTAGACAATAGAAAATTTTCTACCAGTCAGTCAGTAATTAAACTATGGGAATTAATATGATTTTATAGAACGGCAATTGTGTGCAATAACAAGAAACAACTTGCTTAGTGATAAACTCTTTGCAATATAAATTATCGCAACTATCAGTCAGTCAGTCAGTTGCAACATAGAACTTCGTGCGTATGTACATAAGTTCAGGTTGCCACACGACATTAACACAGAGACGCAAATATCAAATCAAATCCCGTAATAGTAGATGTAGTAGAAGAACTAATGCTAATGGAGATTAGGATTTGAAGATAATATTCATGAAGTATAATTCAGTGAGATGAGGTTAGAAAGACAAAGTTAGAAGTGTTGACGAATCCAGAAGATTAGGATTTGAGAGAACACAAAGAGTGGATGCACCTACGCCATTGCGAACGATTTTGAGCCATGTCGTACAAAGTCTCTAACCATTGGTGACTATCGTCTCGCGGACCCCAACCAGGTAGCCTACATCTACCAACATGACTCAGTCCACTTGTCAGTGACTTCGTGGACTTTTGCCATGTTTTGGTCTGGCTACCCCTAGCTTACTTCCAACCTACTCCTACACCACAAAACATAGCTCGTCGAGTCATTCGGTGGTTAGGCATTTGTAACACATGTCCCAACCACATCAACTGAAGTTTCACCACTTCATTAAACTATAAGAATATTTGAAAGACCTTGAACAACACTGAATATATAACACAACTGATAATATACATATTTCCTCGCAATGGCTGCTACTGTGAAGTGGTGGTCATCGAAGTATTACTGATTTATCCTGGGACGATCAAAGTAAGCAATTTGAACCTATAACTTTTATGCTCAAAAACCTAAATGTTTTACCCGTAAAATCACCGGCGAATAGTTATTTGAATGATCAGTGTTTAGAAAAACAAAAATACATTCCAATTTTTTGAGCATGAAAATTGCAAGTTCAAATCTCACTTCGCCCTTATTTCAAATTTATTGTTTGAATCAATAAAAATAAAATTAAAAAAAATTATCCATTCAAACTACTAGTACAGAAATAAGACAACACAAATAACAATAACAACCTTTTGTTAAACATGCAATAATATATCCAGGTATACTATTATGATCATCATCATCATCATCAGCATCAACATGATCAATTCGTTTCTGATCATCATATTCATCATTACTCATACAATCCCATTCATTTTGATTAGATCGATTCAATACATTTGAAGATAATAGTAGTGTTAAATTATGTAGTTTATCATCATTTTGACAATAATTATCAATTCCACCATAAGATGACATATTTGATAGTAGATTAGTCATAGAAGGTGACCAATATTGATTATTATTATTATTATTACCAATAAATACTTCATTAGTATTATTCGCTGCAGTAAGTTGTTGTTGGTGTTGATGTTGTTGTTGTGTTGTATGACCATAACATTTACATCTACCACATAAAGAGTTGATATCACAAGTAGTACAATAATAATCAACAATCTTAGGATTATTGGTTGTATTATTCATAAAATTTGTACTACTACCACTACAGTTATCATTATCATTATTCCCGGTAAGTGTATTTCTCGTATTATGAACAGTAGTATTCATATTGACTAATGAAGATGAAACAGTCAGTGGAAAAGTAGAATTTGTTATTGTAGTAGTAGTAGTAGTAGGAGTAGTAGTGGTAGTGTTAATTGATGACACATCTGCCTTTCTATGAATATAAACAGTTGAAAATGACGAACCACCACCAATTGGAGAACTAGAACATGAACGAGAATTTAATTGATTTAAATGTAATGCATATAATGTGATTGCTTCACGGCATGGTTTAATTGGTGTTAATAGAATATGTTTAATTTCAGATAAACATGAATTTAGTATAGTTTGTGTTAATTGATCAGTTGATGATAGATCAGTAAGACGTTTTTCCATTAAATATAATGTAGATTTTCTATGTTTTAATTTTTCAATACTTAATAGAATTTTATTTCTTGCTCCTTGGGTTACATTCTATAAAATAATAATAATAATAATAATAATAATAATAATAATAATAATAATAATATGTAAACAGAGTGCACAGAGATATTGTTTTGTAGAAATCTAAATTTAGAATATATACACAAGAAACAAACACTGGGTATTGATCACAATGACATTTCAAATTCATTTTACACAATCACATAGTTTGAATTGAAGACGTTAGGGGATTTGTGAGCATACCGATATGTAGAGAGGGTATAGAATAAACAATTTAAAAGAGCTCATTGTTCGATCACAGTACACTTTGTTAGGATATTCACCAAATATCCTAAGAGTACTATTTTTAGAAGTGTAATTCCATTGGTCGATTTCTATTGGTCAAAATTATGGTCGTTTTAACTGTCAAAGTCAAATACTTCAATGTTGTCTCTTATTGGTCATCCGGATTGTCAATGTCATTTCAAGTGTTCTTTCCTATTGGTCGTCCTAAACTGTCAATGTCACAGATTTTGATGCTCTTTCCTATACGCACTATCTGTAAACCTTCATGATTCCGATTCCAATTCCGTTCTTCCTGCCTACCTCTCTTCTGTTTTCGACCCAATAAACAACTCCATCCAACGGTGTTGCGTTCTGATATATAGGACATTTGGAAATAGCATTTTGGATCGTATTGGATATTTGAATTGGACGCCGCTAGGACTGAATAGCTATATGTAGCAGCGTTATAACACACTTCTACGGTAAGGGGAGCAACATTAGGACGAAAGCAACAGACGGTCAGGAACACCTTGGTGCTTGAAAACAGTTGACAAATGGAAGAAAACTAACAGTGTACATAAACTGGTAGTAGCTCAAGTATTTGTGACTATACAAACATGAAAACGAGGCGTGGAAAGCTAAATTAATGGTATAATCAATCAATCAATCGATAACAACGTTGAACTTCGTACGTACGTAAATTACATGTTGCTATACCACGTTAGCACAGAGACGAAATTGTCAATTCAAATCCGTTAGTAATAGAGGTATTAGCAGTAGTCGAAGAGGTTAGGATTAGAAGATATTAGTCAAGAAGTAGAATCTAGTGAAATAGACTTAAAAAGATAAAGATAAAATGATGAGGAATTAAAAAGTTTGGGATCTGAGAGAACACAAAGAATGAATGCACCTGCGCCATTGCAAACGGTTTTGAGCCATGTCATTCAGGATCTCTAACCATTGATTACTAACATCTCGCGGACCCCAACCAGGTAGTCGACACCTACCGACATAGCTCAGTCCACTTGTCAGTGACTTCATGCATTTCTGCCATGTTTTGGTTTGCAATAGTATAATAAAGGTAGGTTGCATTCGATTTACTATGAAGCAGACTCCAAGAACAAGATAATAACAAGGATCAAGTCGGTAGCATAATCAGTCATGATCACCTGCAAGAATTCAGCATATTTTAGGATACAGATGCACAACTACGTTGTTATTCAAGCAGCTCGAATGATTTATGCAACATCCTTGTAGTAGCAGTAATAGATTCTCTTTTGTACTGAATACATTCTCCACACTTAAACAATGGTGTAACTGAGCATCACAATAAATATAATCCAGACAAATGAAAAGTTACATTCAGAAAACTGCAGAAGGAGGAGGAGGAGAGTATAATCCGATGAATAAATGAATAAAAATCAATGAACAAGAGCAGATTATAAGACAACAAATAAATCAGTTTAAAATAGTACTGTGGTGTGAGCTACTTATAAGTAGTATATGACGTGAGTGTCAACGTTATGTCTGGCAGCGTAATATGGGGGAAGATCAAGAAAGGAAGAGTGGGAACACAATGGAATTTGTATGAAACGCATGAATAGTGACAATGGATTGATGTTTGGCAACAGGAACAGTCCAGTTTGATAGGATGGACTGATAATTTGCAAATGAACGATTTACGATATGGTTTTCCGATTTTACTGAGTAACTCTGTAATTTTCGTTAAATACAATTCGGTCGCCCCACCTGTGTTCTCATTCACTACAGTAAAAGTGATAGATAGACAGAAAGATACAACACAGAACTTCGTACACATGTACATCAGTTCAGGTTGTCATATCACATTAGCAGAGAGATGCAACTGTCAGTTCGAATCCAATAGTATATTAGCAGTAATGGAGAAGATTAGGGTATAATTCAGTGAGATAAAGTTATAAAAAGAGAGATAGAGATTATGAGGAATTCAGAAAGTTAGAATGAGAGAGAACACAAAGAGTGGATGCACCTGAGCCATCGCAAACGATTCTGAGCCATATCGTTCAAGGTCTCTAACCATCGGCGACTTACGTCTCGCGGACCCCAACCAGGTAACCTACATCTATCAACATGACTCACTCCACTTGTCAGTGAGTACAAGTGATAATTCTTTCAATCAAGTGAGCTAGTTGTATTTCGGTAAAGAATGTAAGAAAATCAACTACTGGACAACTGCCATTGGATTCTATCTTAAGCCACGTCTGATTATATATCTCAAAACCTTGAGTGATACTCTCTGGGACATCAACAAAGTAGTCTTGATAAACCGAAAGATTTCATCAATAACTTATTTTGTGTCTACGATATTACCTTTTAGTGTAATCATCATACACTTTAAACAATACATTCGTCACACTGAAGTTTTAAAAAAGGATACAAATTATTCATCTGCATTAGTGTGCTTAAATTGATTGAGACTAATTTGGTTTTGTGTACTGTTACGGGTATGAGGGTGGACGTCACATCCAGGCTGCTGCACACACCATGGGTGTTTCTTGAGGGATCTGAAAAGGAAGGCAGATTAGTGTTGGTCTTAGAGACCTGGGAGCGTGACCACAGAGCCCAGGGGACAACTGCTTCATGCCGGTCACCCATGGTCTTTTTACGATGCTAAAAAATATTCCAACAATGCAGCTTCTCCGCATAAAAATATGACGCCTGATTTCATTTAATTACAAAAAAAGACTATTTAAAAACGGAGAAGAACTCACTTGCTGCTTTAACCAATCATCAGTGATATTCATCATCTCATCATATGACAGATTTTGGAATAGACTAGCATATTTATGCAGTCGTAAACTTTTTAGCCAGAATGGAACAGCTTAAAGATAAATAGTAAAAATGAATAGAATACTGTATTTTTAAATGGAATAGTAAACAAAAAACAGCACAATAACTAAAAACAATTACACGAAGTATTTTAAATGATGAGCAACACATGACACTATTGGAGTAGTTCATTAAAATATTGATTGATAAGTCCATTCGAAACAGTGTTTAAAAACGTAACGAAATTTGGGAATTATTAATTAAAATGGTTTAAATGTAGCCAAAAGGAACATGTTAAACAAAACTGCCACATTAAGGTAGCATGTTTTGTCAAATTTTTAAAAATGTGTTAGGATATTCACCAAATATCCTATGAAGAATTATTTTGTGAGTGTAAATTCTATTGGTCGATTCCTATTGGTCAATATTATGGTCGTCTTAACTATCAATGTCACATACTTCAATGTTGTCTTCTATTGGTCGTACTAACTGTTAATGTCATTTCAAATGATGTTTCATATTGGACGTCCTAACTATCAATGTCACAGACTTTAATGTTGTTTCTTATTCGACCTAACTGTATAAATACGCATTATATGTAACGTTTTATGACCCGGACCCTCAGTCCAGGATCCTTGCATTCTCCTGGACTTGGAACTCGTATTTTCTGGATGCTTGTAGAATACAGGTTCTACTTCATATCAAGTCTTCTTCTTTTACTCAATATGGGGGTTGGGACAATCGGATTAGAGTAGCATGTCGTGTCGCTGGATCCTCGCTCTCGCTTTCCGACTAAGGTAAACTTGTAATAGTTCAAGCACATCAAATGACATGTTTACGTGCATGCATAACAAATAGCACTATTTTAAGATGGTGGAGAAATTTGTGTAACTCAAGTGGATGATTGTGGTGGTGGTGTTTCGTTCTCTGAGCTGGATGTTTTTGTTGTGGAGCTTTCATTGTTCTTCTGAAGTTTATACTGATGATGTTGTTCAGTAAGCTCCACAACTAAAATACCCAGCTTAGAGAACAAAACAGCACCAGAACTATTATATTTTGTAGATAAATGTTGTAGCTGCAAGTTGCGTATACCATGAACACAATCTATATTTGTAACATTAGCAATGGGGTAGATTTACAGAAATAACTAGGATAACACTAATATAATATAAATTATTTGAGACACGGTTATTCAAAAGATTTTCACATTAGCTATGATTGATCGTTTCTATCCAAAAAATGTTCAAAAAGAACCAAACAATAAACTGTTAGAGTTTTTTTCTTAAAAAAACTGTCAGTGAAATGTACAATTTTGAAATATAATAACTGAATCTAAAATATCAGACTAAGAGTAGGCGGGGAAAAAAAAAGAAATCTGAGTTTTTTTTTCTTACAGTTACTAAAACTGTCTAAATTTAAGAGTTTCTTTAGTCTGTCGTTACACATTAGCAGACAGACCAGTAGTCGATTAGGAGTGGATGCACCTGCGCCATTGCAAACGATTTTGAACCTTGTCGTTCAAGGTCTCTAACCATCGATTGTTATCAGCTCGAGGACTCCAACCAGGTAGTCGACACCTACCGACATGACTCAGTCCACTTGTCAGTGACTTTATGGATTTCTGCCATGTTTTGATTTGGCCATAATTGTCTTTCTTCCAACCTATTCCTACAACACAAAACATAGCTCATCGAGGCAGTCGGTGGTTAGGCATACGTAACACATGTCCCAACCACCTCAACTGATGAAGTTTCAATCCTTCATCTATTGATTTGCCATCCTTACCTAGAACTCGTTTCCTAACAACAGCATGGCTTACTCGGTTGTCCCAGGATATATGAGCAATGCTTCGAAGACAAGCAATCTACGAAAGTCCTCTACTCTCAACGGCCATGTTTCGCGACAATATATTAGGACGGAGCGAACTGCTACACGGTACACTCGTTCTTTTGGTTACCAAACGGATATTTTGCCAACGCTATAAGTGACTCAATTTGGCAAACGCTGAATTACATCAGTATATTATTTAAAATTTATGTTGCCGTTACATGTCTACCATATATATATATTGAATGATAGAATTTCCTAAGGGTCTTTAGTTATCTTTAAAATATGATATCTGAATAGATAATTCCCATAACACTTTACCAGTGTATTTCATATTAATTGTCACATTGCTAAAACCTAGGATATATGGCCTCAATGAAGTTTAACTATGACATTAGTGATATATTGACTTAAACAGGAAACAAGTATATGTTTTATTTTATATGCAGCATATAGTAGTATTACAGAAACATATAATCATTGGTACAAAACACAAACCTGTCATTCCAGATGATGGATTTAAGAAATTATTCTCATCGATGACACAATGTGAATTATGTTCAACATCAGTAGGATTTGTGAATTTATTTAAATTCCTGGGCATTATAGAATGATTTGATTCATTTTGAATTTTAGGAAAATTCATAGGGACATGATCATGAGTTTGTGACGGTGGATGATGATTATTCACGAGATTGGAATGTTCAGCAGTTGACAGTGACTCACGATGATCACAGATAGTTTGACCATCAGTTACAGTTGGGAAATGATGAGAACTACTAGTTTGTGTAACAATATTCTCATAACTTTTTACAGGTTCCGGTGATGTGGAAGCCAGAAATATTGATGTTGGTGAATGAGGAATATAAACCTAAATGTTATTATTGAAGAAGGAAAATGGAGATGATTTAATAAATCTATGAACATAACATTGATATATGATTTAAAGCCAAAACCAACACAGAAACGGAGCATACTGTTCAACTCTCCCAAACCAGTAATCCAATTATTTTAGCGAACCCGAGAACACTATTTTTAATCATGTTAGCTTAGAATTTATGTTTGATCTTTACACATTGCCTACCAAATTCTATTCTATTCTATTACACGAGTGATCTGTCTTGGTAGACAGACAGACAGATACAACGTAGAACTTCGTACTTAAGTACATCAGTACAGGTTGCCATGACCCATTAGCACAGAGACGCAACTGTCAGTTCAAATCCAAGAGTGATAGCGATAGTAGAAGTATTAGCAGTAATGGAGAAGATTAGGGTTCGAAAATATTATTCAAGAAGTATAATTTACTGAGATGAACTTAGAAAGCAAAAGATATAAATGAGGGATTCAGAAGGTTAGAATTAGGGAGAACACAAAGAGTGGATGCACTTGCGCTATTACAAACGATTTTGAGCCATGTCGTTCAAGGTCTCTAACCATTGGTGACATAGGTCTCGCGGACCCCACAACCAGGTAGCCTACATCTATCAACATGACTCAATCCATTTGGATTTGTGCCATGTTTTGGACTAGTTGCCCCTAGATTTCTTCCAACCTATTCCTACAGCACAAAACATAGCTCGACGAGGCAGTTTGTTGTTAGGCATACGCAACAAATGTCGCAACCACCTCAAATGATAAGGTTTTAAAACTTGATCTATTGATTTGCCATCCCTACCTAGTACTCGTTTCCTAACGACAGCATTGCTCACCCAGTTGTCTCAGGATATACGAGCAACGCTTTGGAGACACATATGACCGAAGACAAGCAATCTACGAATGTACTCTTCTCTCAACGGCCATGTTTTGCATCCGTATAGTAGGACGGAGCGAACTGCTGCATAGTACACTCGTCCATTGGTTAGCAAACGGATATCTCGTCTGCGTCATAGGTGACGCAGGTCGGTAAAAGCCAATCGAGCTTTCTGTATCCATGCTGAGGTTAGTAGAATTAATAATCAACAACAAAATTAATACCAAATTTCTTATAAACCTCATTCGTCCAAAAATCACATGACATTCCTATAACTTACACCAAGCTCCGTATTACTGGATGAGATTGAGCTTGAATCACTTAGTGTACAAGTGGACACTCTTTGTTGGTAAATAACATTTGAAGATAGATTAGTCTCTCCGCTATTTGTATCAACCGTTGAACTTTGGACGGATGTAGGAGGGCTAGGTGAACTAACTGTTGGCAAATCATTAAAATCCTTGGATGTGTTAAGCGAATTCTGATTTGTGCTTACATCAAAAATTTCAGGTGCTTTATTTTCTTGGTCATTATTATTTGGCAAATTTTGACTATGACATTGTGAAGAAGGTAAAGAATGATAGTTAGATACCCTAGGAATGTCAGATAATCTTCTATGTGAAAAGTGAGATGATGTACTTTGTGAATGAGAACAGTATAAATGATTGTTATAAAAATTGTTTGAAAAACCAAGTTTAACTTCAGCATTTGGAACAGTTAATAGTGCACCATAGTTTGCTTTTGTAGTAGTTATACTGTTGTTATGATTCACTGAATGTGGTCCAGAATTAGAAGCTTCCATGAACAGATCATATTGACTATCTGAACCTCCACAACCTGATAAGAACCCGGAAGAAGTTAATGAATGCGACGACGAATCTGAAAAATTGAGGTAGAAGCAAGAAATAAATCGATTAAGCAACAGGAAAGACTATAACTTTCAAATATTCCATTAGATTGATAAAAATATTAATCAGCTAGTTTGTTATTAAGTGATTATTTCAGCCGGATTACAGCAGTGGATTGGACAAAACAGATTTGTGGCTATGCATAGGGATGATAAGTGTTTTTGTTTCCGAAGCTACACTATTTCATGATAAAACTGATACGCTAGTGGAATAAATTAATTATTCAAAACTGCAACGGTTGATGAAACTGCTTCTATCCTCTTCTTCTCAAGGCTGAGAATTCCAATTTTGTATAAAATCTTTCTTGATAGGGAACCTAGGAGAATTAGCTCTTCGGTGTAATAAAATAACACATATGATGAAATGTTGTGAGCGATTGGAGTAAACTACTCTGTAGGTCACTGTAGGCTCAAATTCGTGATCAGTGTTGAAAAGTCCCATGATTCGGAATGTCTAGCGTGGGTTATTTACATTATCGTGTGGCGTATTACAATCATACCTAAACTAGGACTCCTAGTTAGAATTTTAATCGATTAGTCTCTTCTAAAAGCAACTTAACGAAGACTAGATCAATGACTGTGGGTTGTCTTGTTTTACAGTTAACGTAATTCAAACGCATACTCAAATTCGAGCAATATACTGTATTTCGCATGACTATATTACTAAGAACGCTGAATTAAAGTGGTTTTAGTGACTATATTTAGATTAAGACATGTAAATAATCTATACTTATTCTGCTTCCGTTTGAAAAAACATGTTAAACTATGCACAAAAGTAAATGCAGAAGTTATACATAACAGAAAATATATAAAGGTACAAAAATCTAACCTGTTATGCGCTGTAAAGCACAAGAAAGATCTAAACCAAGATCAACCAGGCAATCAAATAATTTTGAACACAGCCCATCATCCGAAGAACCATGTTTTAGTAATGTATTGCTTTCTTTAGATAATCCCTTGTATTTGTTTCGAATAGATGACAACAACCATTTGCGATCATCTTCATTAAAGGAAGCGTGAAGAATTGTTGCAATAAAAAGTTGACCAATTGATGTTTGCACTGCCACTTCACGCAACGGGATAGGATTATTGTGAAATTTCTTAATTAACGGATCACAGTCAGTAACGAGTGAAGATATAAAGCTATTGCTAACCAGTTCTAGGTATTGTCTTTTGATGGACTGGAAGTTCTGAGAAATCCCATCAATATCTGCTGGTGGTGAATCACCGAACATATTCCTAGGACGGGTACCGGAACAATATATATTATCCGTTTCTGGTTTGGCTGACACAGAATTATGACTGATATGATGATAAGACTCATTATTGTACTGTACAGCCGATAAAGGTGTGAGCTTTTTTAATATATCTAGTAACTCATTTGTCGAAGCCGATGTTGAGCGAAGCTTCTTGAGATAGTCTAGAGGAGAAAGAGGAAAAGATTTTTGAATACAAAAGTAATTTTGAAGTCCTATAGTTACATGTAACAGTCACGAGTTGAGACATTTGGTGATTTAGAAATACATTGGGCAGATAAATCGGGAGGACGAAACCAGAAAAATGACAAAAGTGAAACATATTTAACTTTAGAGTTAACAACATAAGAAAATATCAGGCAAGACTATAACTTATGGATGAATCACTCATATTTTAGATAACAAGTCTTAGATTTTTGCGGCAAATCTATTCATCCATTATAGCCTATTTCATTTAGTGATAAAAGAGGTCCTTCTGGTCACACGAAATGTAGCGCAGCAAATGTGAAAAGTGGGACAAGAATCTCCATTACCACCAGCGTCATAGCTTTCCCGTAAATTCTAATTGAAACATATTATTAGGAGCAACGTGCATATATCTACATGACAAATCCATGCATGTGCAAGTTAGAAACAACAATTTGGCGATGGTGATAACCAAAAATAAAATGGCTATTGTTAGGTTCGTACCGTTATCTAAAACGAGAATTTCACCCAAACTTAAAGATAAAGTAGGCATATTAAAACGGTTTAACAACATCCATATGTGAAAATATATTGATCTATAAGATTACTAACTCGTCTATTTGACAGTGAAGTTACATAATTTACAATCCACCTTGAATGACATCATATATGCCAAGTTGATGTGACCTACCTGACTCGTTGATATCTAAGAATACTTGATCGAGATCTTCTTTGGAATCTAATATAGTATTATTTAACCATTGCTGTGCAGCACAACGGTAGCCTTCATCGCATTGCGAAAGAAGTACGATTGCAATTAAAAACTTCTTGTGACTATTGATACAAGAAAGTCTGGAAAAATAAAACAACTCCTGTACATTTTAATGTAAATTCATTTTACTCCTTACATTGATACCAAACGCCTGTTCTTCTGAACCGTAAAATTCTTCCTCTGATCTACCACCTAAACCACTATCACAGCCATCGGTCAACTCCAGGTTGTTATCCAGACAAATTGTTGGAATTTTAGTGACGTTACATTGCGAAACAGACGCTTTCACTGATGACATTGAAGACTAAAACTCATCACAAAAGTCGGTTGCAAATTGTAACGTCCTCTTACAAAACATCCTCATTTTCATTATCCAATATCTATTCAGTGAGATTGCATAAACCGTTAGATTTCTTTGCGCTCGATTCTCTTTCTTTCTGCACGATTCCAGGTATTTGGTATTTTAAAATTTGGTGTTTTCAAGTGACTTACTTTGTAGATACGATACAAGAAATTTTTCACGCAACGCGAACAACCAAAACCATTGCTATTTATAGCCTAAATGTATTAATGATTTGTCAGGGTGAATAAGAAATAAAGTCGATATGATACATCAGTATCATTTGTTCTCTAATGCATCTCTACTTTACATGATATAGATTTGGGACTTCCAGATAACTTGTTTAAACCTTGCTTATTTTTCCGACTACCTTATTAGTAGCTCGTCCGCCGATAAGCCCCACGAGATCCTATCTAGGTGATAGGAAAATCCTCACGAATTCCCTTCTGGATTAGGTCTGACGAAAACATCGATAGCAGATTTAACAGTCCCAAAATCAAGTTAACAACTGTTTTGAAATGAAACAGCTTGAGTGAGTTAGTTTTTCAGTCCCATAGTACTTTTGTGAATAAGGATTGATACGCAGTTCACCTTCAAAGATAGGAAGAGTGATTGCGAAATCTTTTGGAAAGTGTAATGTGGGGTCTACTTTAAAAGAACACATGCTGGGAATTTTCTGCTTCTAATTCTTAAGGTCATCTGAAAAAAATGGATATCGAAAGTCAAATGATTTACTAGAATCCGAAACAAACATTGAAAAAAGAATGATCTAAGCCTTAGTCCCTGTGAAAATTAAGGTTCGAAATCTTTTTCAGAACTTTCGGTCAGTTTCCTCAATTCCTATTAGATCGGCTGGAATCTAAATGCCTCACATTTTCTTCGAAATCTATAGGATCAAACGTCAGTGTGATAAGATCCTCGTACGAATGATTGAGAGAGGATATAATAGCAGAAACATGTCTGAATTCAACTAATCAGTTACTAACTCTTCAGCTAGTAGCCCTAAATACCTGACTGTAAGCCTGAATAAATATGAGGAATTTCAATCCAAGATGTTTAGCGTGCGTACCTCCTTCTTATTGAGCTGCTTTCTAAATACTATATGAAGTTAATATATCCTGCTTGGTTTTCCCAGTTCATGAATTAATTATTACCTTGATGTATGACATCTATGTCATTCAAGGAACGACGGGTAATTAAAGTCGATGAATTTATTCCTGGGCTTTGAACATAAACTAAGAAATACCGTGTCAATTAACAGGTCAAAGAAAAGTGTCCTCAGTAATTTTCTGTCATTTGGTGAAGTTGGGGTTGCTTAGTCAGCATAATCTTGTAGTGGTATACTTTTACGAAGAAAACAAAATCGCTGAAATGGAAACATTTATTATTGTACTTAATTCTGACAATAATTGTTATATTGTACTGCTTTTGTTTAACTGTAATAAAGACTATCTCTCGCTCTCCAAGCGTGTCATTCCCACTGCCCTCTTTTCCTCAGTGGTTGTTAGCCGCTTCTTTATTCTGGTCTTGATATTATTTCGATATTACGAGGCCAGTGACAAGTATGCTTCTTCAATCAGATCAGTCTTCTCTCTGACTTCTGGATTTGTCGGGATTTTACTTGGTAATCTTGCGAAGGAGTATTTTATTGTCAACTCGCTATACTCTTATGATTTCCTATAAAATTCGGTTTTGGCTGGTTTAGCGAAATATCGTTGGACTATCACTTAGGCTTTTTTTGATACGAATCAAAAGTTTTTATACGTGTGGCAACGGGTTTACCACCAGACGTGCGAACACTTCGAGACCGAGAGTTGGGTTCGAAACTCAGAAACACATCAGTATTCAATAAAGAAT